TTTATTTATTATAACTTATTAAAAATTAATAACTTACTTTTTTTCTAAAAGAGTTTGCATTTCATTTATATCTTACTTGATGTAGAATATATGCATTATTGACTTATTATCAACAAAACATTCTCTTTAGGATATAAAAAATCATTTGCATTTGCAAAATATATATATATATATATATATATATATATATATATATATATATATATATATATATATATATATATATATTTTGAATTGAAACACAATACCTACTCAATTCATTAATGTAGTTTTAGAAATTTATGGTAGATAATAATTAATCTTTCTTATTATCAAAAATCAAAATTAAATCTGCTAATAGTTATCAGATTTATATGTCTCTTCATTTACTTCAAATATATAATTTTATTATCCTTTTTTTTGTTCATTTGGCATTTTTCAACCACACACCGTGTGCATTTACAACTAGTATTATATATAATTGGATATAATTGTCACAAACCACAAAGGTTTGGTATTAAATTACAAAATTTAAAAAATTTAGATATATTTGTCACATGGTATAAATATTTGAGTTTTTATTTTTGCTATTAAGCCTATCGCTTATATTTTTTGAATGCTACTAGCTCTATTACATTGTAGTATTTGTTCATATACTTTCTCAACCTACTGAAACACAAAGAGCTAATAACCCCTCCACTGAGGCTCAAACTCACAACCTTCCAAATGGAAGTCCAACCCGGATACCATTGGACCACATAGTCCTGGTAGCCTATCTCTTATATTATTGTTCATTAATATGAAATTCATTTGCAGTTGTTGTTCCAAAGGAGATATGTGCTTTACAATTCTTTGTATTATCTTTATTTACATAACAACATGCAAACTCTTCGGTACCTCTTTGTATAATAAATTAGATACTACTAAAAAAACAATAAAGCTTCATAATTTTTTCTCACTACAAAGTTTTGTTTTTCTATTTCTCAGGAATAATACCGAAGGAAATTGGGAATTTAACCACACTCAAGTACTTGTATTTGGGAGACAACTTCTTCAAAGGTACATTTAATGTTTTGTTGGTAGATAGTAGTGCTAGTAGAACTGCAGAATAAATATTGTGAAGTGGGATATTAATCAAAGGACTATTATTAGGTTAATTGGTGTGTGAGAAATTAAATTTGTCCCGACTAAAAAAATATGGCAAAACTTGTAAGAAACTTTATTGTAATAGACATTCAAATCACTAGGGCATATATACACCAATATCTATATTAGCTCCCACCATCAACACAATGATGCCCACCAAGCATTTCAACATAAGAAGTAAAAAAAAAAAAACATATAAAGAAACATAAATGTAGAAGGAAAAGACACAAAGCAAGAATGGACAACTTGGGGATTAACTCAAGTGTTATTTTTAATATTGTGTGCCCTATACACTACCTCTTAAAGTTGACTCTTCTAAGGATTGAAGGACCATATTCAAGTTGAAACCGATGCTCTTATTGTGATTAATATAATGGCCTTCAAGCCACCTCGCTGGATTCAACTTTTAATCTTTTATTAAATGATGCAAATGAAATTGCAAGAACTATGCTTTATGTGGATTTGACTTTTGTTAAAACTTTCGCGAATGGAACTGCTCACAAGCTTGCTAGGGAGTCTTGTTCTTTGTCAGAATGTAAGGAGTGGTTTTACAACCCTCCTTCCTTTCTTGTTGGTGTTTTGAGTTTCGACTTGAATGAATGAACTTTCTTGCTTGAAAAATAAAATAAAAAATTGAAGGAGGAACCCTTTATGCCTATCAACATTACCTCTAATGCATTTCTTCAAGTGACGACCATACTAATTTCTCTTCTCTAACTACATGATTTCCTATTCCGGCCTACTTGCCTTTCTCGAAACACTTTCAACCCTTTTAGTCAAGCTTTTGTTATGATTATGATCCTTGAGGCTCAAGTTCCTCAAGCCCAAACCTTAATGAGTTTCATTTAGGCCATCAACATTCTATTAAGGATACTTGTGGCTGATACATTTTGTCTCTATTTAGTTTTAATTATTCTCCTTTAATATAGCAGTATTAAACTGGTGCTTACAACTTCCTACTAACCACCTGCTAGCTTCTCTCCCTTGTATGCTATTTATAGCTTGTTGTTTGTGTTAATTAAATTCATACAGTTCATAATCTTATATGGTATCAAGAGCCAGCTTTCTCCTACGAAAGAACTTCTCCGTTTTTTTTTTTTTTCCGATGGCTTCTACTACCACCAATGAAATCATCCAACTCAATGCTCCCACACACTTTTCCATTAAACTCACTACCATCAATTTCCCAGTTTGGCGCCGGCAAGTTCATGCTACCCTTGTTGGTCTCAACCTCCTGGGCTATATTGAAATGATATTGGCTATATATGTCATCTAGTTTTCAACTCATATCCCTTCCATTTTTTCTGAGCCCAAAATATCTCTTACCTAGTTTTTGTAGTGTTGGGCTTAGAAGTAAAAAATTATCATTGGTGTCGTTTATGGAGACTTGAGAACGAGGTGGTTAGGGAGATCCCTCGTTAGTTGCTCGATTAGTTAGGTATCTAATCACGAACCGACCCTTTATATGGGTGCCATGAATGCCCCTTAGCTTACACCATTAACCACAAAACCCTATGATATTTTGGTATACGCTACTACTCCACGGGACTTGGTAAGACTAGATATTGGAGATGTTTGATAAATAAGTCAATTTTAGCTGGTTTAACTAATCCATGGGCTCTTTTAAGTGTTTGGTAAAATAGCTTATTACATTAGCTTATTGGGGCAATAAGTCAAAATTTAAAAAGCTAAGAAGAGTAGAGTTTTTGTTTAGCTGATTGGCCTTAATTATAAAATTATTGTTATACCCTTGCAATCTCTAACATTTATATCTCTTATTGTCGTTCATCTGCCTTGCCCCTTTTCTTTTTGTTTCCGTAACAACAACAATAATTTTCTTTTCCATTTCACTAATAATAATAATAATAATAATAATAATAATAATAATAATAATAATAATAATAATAAAATAAATAAATATTATAAAAGTAATTTAAGAGTTAATAAATTAGCACAATATGTTTATGACATTATAGGACATTTTACATACAATCAACTAAAAGTAAACAACTAATTTATCAAATACTTTTTTACAACTAGCTAACTCAATCAGCTAGCCAAACCAGCTAACTCAATCAGCTATCAGTTATCAGCAAACTTAATCAACTATCCGCTATTAGCTATTTGTCATTTGCCAAACATTGCATTGTCGTTTCCCTAAGGGCATCCACAATGGTTCTCTACTTATCTCCCCAATTTATGGGCCCAACTCTTCCACATCACCATTGTTGGTTTTATTAGTTTTGGGCAGTCAACGGCTGGCCAAGACAATCGTAAAAATAATGAGTATAGGGGAAAATATAGAAAGAATATATGGAGAGAATTTAGAAAGAATAAATATTTTGTATTATTGAGAATTGCTTGTAAATAGTGAAAAAAATACTTCCCTTCTCCCCATGTATGGGGTGTATTTATACATATTTTGGGCCAAGAGTCCTACAAGAAATAAGAATTCTAGACTGCCTCGTATTTGGAGTCATTGTTACAACTGTCGTATATACTATATTAAATTTTTTTTAAATAAACGTATATACAACGGTGTATATACTACAATTAATTTTTTAACTTTTTAAATATTGATGTATATACGAATAACTGTCGTATATACTATATTATCTTTTATACTTTTTTTGAAATAGATGTATATACGGCGGTTATATATATAACCGTAGTACATACTTAATTTGTATTTTTATTTTTAAAATATTAAAAGCACATATGGCGGTTATGAATATACTTAATTCATTTTTTATATATTTTTTTAAATTTTGAAAGTATATAAGGCGGTTGTGTATATAACTACCGTGTATATCTACTTTTTATTTTTTATTTTTAAATTTTGAAAGTATATACGACGGTTATGTATATAACAGCCGTATATACTTATTTTTTTTTACATCAAAATGCAAAAGTATTACATTTGTCCTCAAAAGTATTACACCTCCACATATAAGTAAAAAACACTTTATTCCTTATTAGTATTATAATTTTCAATATAAGTATTACATTTTCATTTTGACCAAACCCATCTCACAGATAGGAATGTGTGAGACAGTCTTACACAAGTGTGACCCTAAATAGAATAGAGAAAGTACTTATTATAATATATAAAAATATTACATATATTTTAATTAAAATGTGGTGCATGTCTCTTATATTATATTTAGGTGTTTGCATTCATTCAATCATCTCACAGAAAAATGAACATACATGCATTTGGCAGGTTCAATACCACAAGAGTTGGGGAAACTTGATATGTTGGAGCATTTAGAAATAGGAAATGCTAACTTAAGAGGGTCCATACCAGTGGGAATCTTCAACATTTCATCATTGCAAACAATTTCACTTTCGGGCAATGAGCTTATGGGCACTCTTCCTACAACCACTGGGCGTGCTCTACCTGAACTACAAGAGCTCTATCTTGAAAGCAATTTCCTTTCTGGAGTGATACCAGATTCTATCTCAAATTGTTCCAAACTTACTCTCTTATGCCTTAGCGACAACCTATTCAATGGCAGCTTGCCCACATTTCTTGGCAACCTAAGGATCCTAAACCGACTGCATTTATTTAGTAACATGTTCACCAATGATGCAGCATCACCAGAGCTAAGTATCATCAACTCCTTGGTAAATTGCAAGTATTTAATTGAAGTACGCTTAGATGATAACCCTCTACATGCTGCTACCCTTCCTGCATCAATAGGAAATCTTTCATCTTCTCTTCAATTTCTCTCAATTATGGATTGTGGATTAAAGGGTACCATTCCCAATCAACTCGGCAACTTAAGTGGCTTAATTGACTTGAATCTGTATGGCAATGAGTTGAGTGGGTTTATTCCAGCAATGTTTGGTGGGGAACAAAAGCTTCAAAGGTTGAATCTTGGTAATAACAAATTAGGTGGCCCCATTCCTCATAGCCTTTGTGAACTCCAATCTCTGGGTGAATTAGTATTAAGCAATAATCAAGTCTCTGGTAGCTTACCAACTTGTTTTGGTAATAGCACTTCCCTTAGAAATGTCTATCTAGGTTCAAATCATTTGTCTTCTGGGATATCTTCAAGTTTGTGTTCTCTCAAAGATTTGTTGGTGCTTGATTTGAGTTCTAATTTCCTAGATGGATCTCTACCTATTGAAATCAATGGTTTAAAGGCACTTTATTTTCTTGACTTGTCCAACAATCAGATTTTGGGGAATATCCCTATCACTATTGGACAATTGCAGAATTTGCAAACTCTTTCTCTTTGTCAAAATAGACTAGAAGGAAATATTCCAGAGAAAATAAGTCAAATTGTTTCCTTGGAATTCTTGGAATTATCTTTCAACAAACTCTCTGGTTCAATTCCAATGTCTTTGGAGGGACTAGCATACCTTAAATACTTCAATGTGTCATTCAATCAATTGAGTGGCGAAATTCCATCAAGAGGGTGTTTTAAAAATTTAACAAGTGCATCATTCATGTCTAATGAAGGGTTATGTGGAATTATTCCGAGCTTTCATGTCCCACCTTGCCATTCCACCCACCATTCAAAGATTCACAAAGTACTTCCCCTTATACTTGCACCTTTAGGAGCTGCACTGATAATTACTTTTGTAATTATTGCGCTTCTCCTTAGAAAGAAGCAAAAGGGGTGTAGAGTTACAAGTACAAAGGATATCTACAGTCCATGGGCAGAATTAAAGATTTCTTATGCTGAACTTTCCAGGGCAACATGTGGCTTTAGCCAAAATAATGTCATAGGTTCAGGGAGTATTGGCTCAGTTTATAAAGGGATTCTTGATGACGAGATGCCTATTGCAGTGAAGGTATTTAACCAATCAGATGTTGCGTTTAAGAGTTTTGATGTTGAGTGTGAAGTGTTAAAGAATTTGCGCCATCGAAATCTTACTAAGGTGATTACCGGTTGCTTTGTTGACAACTTTAAGGCTTTGGTCCTTGAGTACATGCCCAACGGAAGTCTTGACCAATGGTTGCATTCACAAAGTAACTTCCTAGATATTGTTCAAAGAATAAATATAATGATTGATGTTGCATATGCTTTAGAGTATCTTCATCATGGTTACACAACACCTGTGGTTCATTGTGATTTAAAGCCTGCTAATGTGTTATTAGATGAAGAAATGGTTGCCCATGTAAGTGATTTTAGTGTGACAAAGTTGTTAACCGAGGAAGAGAGCTTCACTCAAACAGAAACTCTAGCAACATTGGGTTACATGGCACCAGGTAAACACAATACTATTCTAGTATTTCATTCAGATTATTCATAAAATTTAGAGTGAATTCCATTTTTGGTCCTACTGTTATAGGGGCGTTTCCAATTTTAGTCCACCTTAATTTTTTTTGTCACTTTATAACCACTATTATTGAATGTGTTCCACTTCTAGTCCCACCGTTAGTATTTCAATCAAGAGGTCGTGTAATCTAGGGGTATTTTGACATTTCTTCTCATCCAAGACTATGTTTGACTAAAGAAATCATGAAAACATTAAACCTAAAACCTAAGAAACTTCGCCGGCCCATGTTGGAACGAACGAAACAATGTAGCTTTGGCTTCCCATTCTCGTTGTTCGAAGAGCCATCTTCGAATATCGGAGGAGGAGGACGAAGCGCCTGGATTAAAAGAGAAGAGACAAACATAAAAAGACCAAAATATCCTTTGATTATACGACCTCTTGACGAAAATATTAACGGTGGACTAAAAGTGGAATACATTCAATAACAGTGATTGTAAAGTGGCAAAAAAAATTAAAGTTGACTGAAATTGGAAACGTCCCTATAACAGTAGGACCAAAAATGGAGTTCACTCTAAAATTTAATACTTGCAAGTTGTCGTCAAAGGCATATATTTGTGCGTTTTCTATTTCAAATATGATAATTGTAGTTTTCATAATCATAGAGTATGGATTGACGGGAATGGTATCAACACAATGCGACATTTACAGCTTTGGAATTGTGTTGATGGAAACATTTTCAAGAAAAAGGCCCACGGATGAAGTTTTCGGTGAAGATATGAGCTTGAGAAGTTGGATAAGGGATTCTTTACCTCATCATGTACTTCAAGTTGTAGATCCCAACTTACTGGGGGAAGAGGATAGAGACTTCACTGTGAAATTACAGTGTGTATCCTCTATATTGGAACTGGCATTGAATTGTGCTATGGAGTCACCAGAAAAGCGGTTAAATATGACAGAAATCGTAGCAAAGCTGAATGGAATCAAACATCAGTTTTTACGAGGTGGTTCTGTGACCTCAACACTTGGTAATGTGTTTCTTGAAACTATTTTAAGTGAAAATCTTCATTATGTGGTTTCTAAATTGTAACTTTTTACTGTTTGCAGATCAAAGTGCTCAAAGTTAGACGAGGAAATGAAGGTAATGCTAAAGATTCTGACTCTTTTGGTCCACTTCGTTATAGAATTTTAGGTGCAGTAGAGCATGATAGAAGTGTGCTTTTTTTTGTCTTACTTTAATTTATCAAGTGTTTCTTGAAAACATGAAGAATGGTACTTCCAGATCATATTCATTTCTATTAGATTGTGTATTCATTTCATATTTCTGCATTCTCTTTTTTCCCCTCATTAATCCCTTGTTTGCGAACATTCTACCATAAAAGACAATTCATTTATGAATGAATGAATGTTTTGTTGTAATTCAATTGTATTATATTTCCAGGATGCTAAACATGAACTCTTGATGTTGCATGTTCTAATCATGATTTGTCTATAAGTATTTGTTGTGTGTGTTTGCTTGGGCCTTGGGAACAAATAAAACCTTGAACGTGGAGAAGTTTAACAAGCCTAATTGCGCAAATTATGCTGTGCAACCGTGTGCACCATGTATGGTGCACACGGTTGCAAAAACGACATCGTTTTGATTAAAAACGTGCGTCCCACTTTAAAAAAAAAATCAGGTTTGATTCCCGGCAATAGCATTTTTTTGTGCATAATTTAAATTATATATCCACAAATTCATAACTATATATCCACAAATTCATAACTATATATCCACACTGAATGAATAACACAAAACCCAGAATGAATGAACTAAATATCCACAATGAATTAACTAAATATCCACAATGAATGAACTAAATATCCACAATGAATGAACTAAATATCCATAAATTCATAACTATATATCCACAAATTCATAACTATATATCCACAAATTTATAACTATATATCCACAATAATTCATCACTATATATCCACAATAATGTTGTTGAGAGGAATCGAAACTGATTTTTTTTTTTTTAAATGGAACGTGCGTTTTTAGTCAAAACGACGTCGTTTTGCAACCGTGTGCACCATGCACAGCATAACTATTGGCCTAATTTAGGTGCATTATTTAGAGTAGTTTTAATAAATGTTTTATATAAATTGCTAAAGACATTGTGGTTAAGTGGCATAACTATAACTCTCCCAAATGAGGGGTTATAGGTTTAAACCTTAGTGAGAATCTCAATAGGTTGAGATATGTTGTAATATACTAGTATTTTATATGCGCGATGAAAAGATAATAGAAGTTATAACTGTATAGATATTTTTGTACAAAAAATTATGTAGTACAATTTTTATAGCATAAGGTACAAAAAGGGGACATGAACCAGTGATATAACCTGGATTGAAAATTACTATGTTTTAGATACAGTACTACTAAAAAAATGAAATTTTATTATAAATATCGTATTTATTGATATGTATGTAGTTTAGATAATTTTAGTAATTATTTTAGGATAATGTTGGATTTGTTGTAAATATATATTTGATGGCCATTATTATCCTATTATTATATCGGATCAAGTATTGTATTCTGTTTACACATGTTGTATCTGGATTCTGCGGTGATCTAATGAGGATGCGGTTCTGGAGTTCATCTTGTCTTTGTTTTCCTTCTTTCTATGTGGTTCCTGGCATACATCTATGTTAAAATTGTTTCGGATGATTGGGCTAAAAAGGGATCATTTTATAACCGGATTTATTTTCGATCATATAGTTTAGAAATAACCATCCACTCCTTGATTATTTAAAATCCAACTTGCATCTTAAAACAGAAGCTCCCACATGTATACTAAATCATAATTCATGGTATTCCTTTTTTTTTTTTTTTTTTTAAGATAATTTGTGGTATTTCTTAGTTACTTGAGAAATATATTCATTGTTACTTGAGAACTCTATTCAAGGTCTATTAATGTACCATACTAGCTAGGTTTACTAGTATCTGCACAGTTTGCCTACTGTACTTTCACTGTTGGAAACTTGTTATTCCCGTTCAACAGAAAACAGGGTTTATTGGTCGGAAAATGGGTTTCCGACCAACATTCCGACCAAAATGATGATCGTAAAATTGGTCATCGATTTTTCCATCCAACATCAAACGTTGGACGGAAATAGAGTTCAACTGGTCAAAGTTGGACGGAAATTTCGGAGGGGTAATGTAACACCTCCGATTTTACCAAAATTTAAAACTTAGTTTAAAGAGATAGACAGTCTAATCATAAACCATTAAACTAGCGTAAGCAAAACTCTTTAACGGGAAGATGTTATGTCACACCTGTGACACCCCGTAAATCTAAATACTAATTGAGGATTAATTGAAGAATTAATCCAAGCTTTCTTTGCTAAGTCATTTCTAAAAATCCTGAAATTTAATAGTCGAGGGACTAGATTTTGACTAGTCACTTAAGTCAATTAAGTGTACCTTGTGCTTTATGGGTTGTACCCTTACCTTCTTGTCTTTCCAACCTTAGTAAGGGTAAAAGTGGTTTTTCACCCATGAATTGTTGTTCAAGTCATCTCTAGTAAGACAATTCATTCATTCATCATTCAAGTCTAAGCCTCAAACACTCTAACATCTCTCTAAGAAAAACCTAGTTTATTCTTCAAGCAAGAAGGTGAACCTCCTAGCCTTGCAAGATCCTCCTTCAAGATTCCTACTTTCTTCTTCCCAAGCATAAGAAAGGGTAAGGTTATTAGCTCTTTAGTGTTTTTAGCCATCTTTTGGGTGTCTTTATCTAAAGTTAGAATCTCTCTTGTGTTTTGGTTTGTGTAAGAAGTTGGTGAGGAAGAAGAGCTCTAAGAAAGGTTTAAGAGGGTGAAAATGAGTGGTTGTTGGTCTACAAAGGTAACTCATGCTATACAAAACCTATTTTCTTACTTAAATGATGATTATTGGCTTCTATTTGATGTTCTTGATGTGATTTGTGAGATTTGATGCATGATCTTGTGATGATGCATGTTTAGAGCTTGTATTTAGGTTTCTTGAATGTCATTGCTCGGCTATTTCTTGGGTTCAAGTCATATCTTTGTTGTGTGTGAGATTTTGGGTGTTTTGGACTTGAACTTGACCTTGATGATGAAAATCCCCGAAGGGAAAATTGTATACAGGGTGTACCCCACGAGCGGAACGGCGGGCAGTGGCCTACCCGCCGCCCCACCCGCGGGGAACATGTGTAAACGGGAGAGAAAGTGATGGACTCGCCGGAGAAGAAGAAAAGAAGTGTGAAACGACCCAAATATCCTCATTATTTTAATTATTAAAATTTTCCGGCCAAATTTGGCCGGCAATTTGGTCGGAGTGACAAAAATTGCATAATTAAGGTACTAAATTGACACTTTTGAAAGTTAGAGACTAAAATTAACAAGACCCCTATAGTCATATGACCAAAATTGAAATTTCCTCAAACATGTGTGAAAGGTCAACTTTACCCTTACTAAAGTTAGGAAGACAAAAGGGTTGAGGTTCAAAGCATAAGGCAAAAGGTACACATGGTTGACTAATGAGACTAGTCAAATTCTAGTCCCTCGACTATCAAATTTCAGGATTTAAGAGGAAATTATCAAAGGAAAGTTAGGATTAATTCTTCAATTAATCTCAGTTAAGGGTTAGATTTACGGGGTGTCACAGGTAACCCACCATTTTTTTAGAATGGGAATTTCCGTTCAATTCCATACACGGGTCAGAATTTCCATCCAACATGTGGTCAGAATCCCCCCTTCTAACTGTTGGTCGGAAATTGTGACCAACTGTTGGCAGGAAAATCTATATTCATATAAATTGTTTTTATTATTTTGATCTTACTATAATTTTGTTTTACTTGTTAATACATTCTATATCATCAACAAAGTAATGTACACATTATCTAATTTCAAAATGAAAATATATTTAAATATCAAAATTATTTACAACGAAAAAATCGTATCATGTCTATAAATATTTAAGGAATGCATTATTGCCATACACCAAAAAAAGTCATAAAAACATAAAGTACTTAATCTTCTTCATAAGGGACTTGTACGTTTCATCATTTAGTGAGGTGGAATTGTTCAAGTTTAAAGAACCTAACCACTCAGGATTTGCAGAGTTATGCAAATATAGCACCCATCTTTTCAAGACAACACACCTGATGCATCAGTCTGAGTCTAACTCGCCTCTTAGAACCTTTAGATCGCTCTTCGAGTGCATTCTTAATAGATGGTCGATGCTTGTTTCTCAATTCTTGGAATTTGGATTCAGTAAGCTCATACATGCTGTCAAAACAAGTTGACTACTATCAAATGTAGACCCAACAAGCAATTGCAATAGAGTGATTCCATCTCCTGCATCCTTCGTTGTCACCTGGACAGGTCCTAAATGAGACTAAAAAAACATTAGTGGACAAATAATTAGCATGGAGAATTGAAAGAAGTGGACAAATAGTTAACATGATATTTCCAACTAGCAGAGATTGAAAAAGGCTTGATTCAAGTCTGAGCTCGTGTGCGCCGGCACCTGGGGGCACGAATGTCGTCCGGAAATTAGCTGGCCTTTGGCTGAGCTCGTGTGCGCCGGCACCTGGGGGCACGAATGTCGTCCAGAAATTGACTGGCCTTTGGGCTAAATTATGCCAAACTTCGGTATCATTTTCCACTTGGTTCGGCCAGAATCGAACCGAGAGCACCTACTCTCGTGCTACAAGTCCACTTGGTTCGGCTAGAACCGAACCGAGAGCACCTACTCTCGTGCTACAAGAGAGCACGAGAGGTTGTGGTGCACCGAGAGCACAACTCTCGTGCTACAACTCCACGAGAGGTGCAAGGGCCGAAACTGGATGAGGTCGAAAGTTGAGACCGAACCCTGTACGCTAACGGTCTGGAACCCGAAAGTTCTGACTGTTGAGGGGATTGAATTCATCTGTTACGGAATTAATTGTCTATTAATCCCAATTTTTCAATTCTGAATTCAATTCCCAAGTAGTGGCCTGCTGTTATAACTGTTGGAAGACAGCTTTAATGTCATTTTTAATTGCCATAATAAAGGCTATTGGCTCCTTCAACCCTATATAAGAGAGGGTAGAGGCAGTATAGTTTTACACACTGTGAGAACAGCAAGAACACTG